TTTGAAACGGTTTTTGGAAAATTCTTTCGCTAATGTGTTTAAATTATTAACGAATGAGTGTGTCAATTAGTATATGAATGAATGAATGAATAATTGGATAAATAGTTAACAATAAATAATTAATTGATTGATTGATTTGTTAATTAGTTCATTTGTCAATTGACTGGTTAATTTGTAAATTGTTTTGTTTTATTTTAAGATGTTTTTTTTCAGAATTTCTTTGTTTGTTTGTTTGTGTGAACTTGTATGTGAAAGTGTATTTGTTCGTTTGTTTATGTGTGTGTTTGTTTCATACACACACACTACACGCACACACGTGTTTGTGTATCTCTGTATTTAAGCACGGGTAAACAGTTATTAAACAATCAAACAGACTTCAATGTATATTTATTTACGTAATTAACTATTTTATTGGGTTATAAATTTAAAAAAATCTATTACAATAGTGATCACAAACAATAATAATAATAATAATTATAAATAATTAATAGTAATAATTATGAATAATTAGTAATAATAATAATAATAATATCTTTTCTATGTAACTTTGAAGTGAAGCTCATAAAATTTTCTATTGAACTGTTTGTTTTATTTAAGCAATTACTGATAAATAAGACGAATAATAATAAAAAATAATAAAAATAATTATAAAATAATAAATAATAATAATATAAATAATAATGAGTGGCTCTAGAATGTTTGAAAATTTTCTTTTTAATTACAACATGACTTTTATTAAGTTTGCTAAGGTTGGTTTTATGTTCTTTTATATTTTTTAAAATGTAAATTTAAATGATTTTATGAATGGATGGATGAATGAATGATAGAATGAACGAATTAACGTAATAACAAACAAATGAATAAACAAACGAACGAACGAATGAATGAATGAATGGAATGGATGAATGAATGATTGTATTTATATTCGCATATGCACACGAACTCTTACATATTTAAGTATGCATATATCAAATCAAATTTTGAATTTTATAGCGCCAATTATAATTTTCATCATCGCTCTCCTCAGGTGAAACTCTAATACATTTATCTTCCAAATATTTCAGAGCCAGACCATTCAAACTTTTAAATTCCATTACACCCAACATGAACATGATTCCTTGTTTAACACGAAGCCAATGCCACTCCTTTAAAATTGGTGATGCACGATAAAATTTAATTTCAATTTTCGGCATATCATTCTAGCAGCCTGGTCCTGAACCATCTGAAGTTTAGGCAAGACAACAGCTTATCAGCTAAACCATATAGAAGATTGTCACAATAATCCAATCTAGAATTGACGAAAGCATGTACTAATAATATCTCTATCTACCGATTCTGTGACATGTAGTTGGAATATACATTTTCTAATCTATAGATTTACTTGTAGACCCACTGTCATACGAGTGTGTGTGTGTGTGAGAGAGAGAGAGAGTATGATGGTATTTGTGGTGCACGTGCGTGTGTTATATGCTTTCATTTCATTGCAATTTTGCCTGATATGTTTCAATTAAGCCATGATATTAATGCTGCCCTTTGGTTAGCGCTATACCACCCACAGACAGACACACACACACACACCCACAGACATACACACACATGCATGCACACTTATAAACACGCACACACACACACACACACACATACGCACACACACATTTTGTGTTTTAGAATTTGTATATGATATGGTTTAATTGTGTATGTTTCTCCTTGTTATCTCTTTTGTTTCCGTATAATGGTTGCTTGTATTTTTGCTGTTGTGTAATAAAAAAAATGTTGCTGATGCTGATGAAGATGATGTGATGATGAAGATGAAGATGATGTGGTGATGGTAATGAAGATGATGTGGTGATGAAGATGATGTGGTGATGAAGATGAAGTTGAAGATGAAGACGACTATGACGATGATAATTATATTATATTATTGATTCATAATTTCATAACGAAGATGAAGACGACGATAGTTAACAAATTATATCTGTGATAATAAATTATGTTATCATAATTATTATTCATAATTTCATAATTTTCCAGTCACTCATAGAGAGAGATAGAGTGAGAGAGTACCTGGAGAAGAATCCCAGTGACAGGACTGAGAAGGAAGTGCAGTTCCTACTGGATTTCATGCAACATATGCCTGTTTGTGTTTTTCTGTTTTGTATGCTTGTATGTTTTGTTTGGTCTGTTTGTTTGTTTGTATGTTTTGTTTGGTTTGTTTGTATTTATGTATGTATGTATGTTTGTTTGTTTGTATGTTTTTTTTAAAGAGGATACAAAGTAATTTACAATCTCTCTCTCTCTCGCACACACGCACGCACGCACACGTACACACACATGCACACGTACACACACACGCACACACACGCGAATATGCTCACGCACAGGTCATTGTTAAACTGTTTGGGGAGAATTTTTACTGACGAGAAGATTGTTTTTGGCGCCTCTCCAAAAATTTTTTTATCTTTCTGATGATTTTTTTTCTTCAAAATTTTCACGCCATTTTTCATTCAACCCGTGTTATTAATGCTCTGGCTGGCTTCCATCACTTAGTTATCTGCGCTCTTCATTGCCTTCAATTTCTTGTTCAATTTTTTTTCTTATCTTTTTAGGACTACTGTTGTTTGTGTTATTTTTTGTCGTTAGTACTGCTACTACTTCTGCTACTACTGCTTCTACTACTGCTACTACTACTACTACTAGGTGCGTGTTTGTGTTTTTAATAATACTGCTGCTGAAGCTTTTACTTCTACTACTACTGCTGTTGCTACTATCGCTACCACTACTTCCACTACTAATACAACTGCTACTACTACCGCACAAGTAGTAGTAGTTGTAGTAGAGACAACAGCAGCTGTAGTAGCAGCAACTGCAGCAGTAGTAGTAGCAGTCGTGATGAAATGCTTTATTGTTATTGCATCCATTTGATCTGCGTCTGGTTGCCGTAATGTGTATACATCATTAACTCTATCTCTATTATCATCATCGTTATTCGTTATCATTCATTATTATCATTCATTATCCATTCATTCATCTATCCATCCATCTATCTATCCATTCATCCATCCATTCATCCATCCATCCATCTATCCATCCATCCATCCATTGGTCCATTCATCCATCCATCCGTCCATCTATCCATCCATTGGTTCATTAATTTATTTATTTATTTACTTAAGGATTTATAGTTTGTAGTTTAAAATGGTTCAAATTGGTTGTAATAAAGAGTGGCTAACATTTTATGCTCTCACCCTATTATTATTATTATTATTATTATTATTATTCCAAATATTCTTTTTATTATTCTTTTAATTTTTATTTCACCTACGTAAATAATCATCACTGCCAACATGAATTGCATTCATCTTGCACCCTGACCAAATAACTCTTGGAAACCTTATAAATTATACCATCTAGAGATAGATGATATAATTTATACCGTGCAAGAATGTGTGTTTATGTGCGTGTGTGTGTGTTTGTGTACGTGTTTATGTGCGTGTGTGTTTGTGTACGTCTATGTGTGTTTAGGTGCGTGTTTGTGTTTGTGTACGTGTCTGCATGTTTTTGTTTACATGTGTGTTTGTGCGTGTGTGTGCGTGTGAATGTGCGCGCGTGTATATGTGTGTGTGTGATTAACAATATAATGATCCGACTCAATGACACTGACGGCCTAGGCATTCAGTAACATGACCATGTCCATGAAGCAGTCCCTGTGTAGCATCATGGTCTTTGCAGGGGTCGAGAAATCAGGTACCGTCATCCTGTCGGACGGTGAGAAACTTGATTCCTGGTCGGTCATTTTGAACGGACACGTCGAGGTAGGCAAGCCGGATGGCACCATACAGCACCTTCATATGGGAGATAGGTACCTTTCGGTGTGGGTGTATCGTGTTACCATACAGTGGTATCTTGTCGTATCGTACAACAGTGTTGTTACTCGATTGTGTTTTCTCCCTTTTTAACTTCTCCTTGGAATTAAAATGTCCAAAGTGTTTTTTTCTTGACTGTTGTTGTTAAGTTTGATTGCGTATGTATGTGCATATGTATGTACGTTTATATGTGTTCTTAGATGTATATCTGTGTTTATGTATGTGTATATGTATGTCTGTCTGTATGTGTGTATGTGTGTGTATGTCTGCCTGTATGTTTGTGTGTGTGTATGTCTAAATGTTGGTTATAAAATATGGAGATAAGGGTTTAACCTTTCAGTAAAATTACATTTTAACATTTTTTTCCTCAAAAGCTTATTTTTAATTCTTTTCAGAGAAGGGTTTTTTTTAAATGAATGGATGGTAGTGCTAGTGCACACGAAAATAATTATTGTTATTATTATTATTGTTATTATTGTTATTGTTATTATTATTATTTGTATGTGTACAACTCCTTAGTAGTTCTCATAAACATTTAGTGAAACAAACAGTTCGCCACATGATATAACTTATCGGCTAAATCAACATAAACAAACTAAAATTATTCACATATAATATATAAATAAATAAATATGTGTGTGTGTGTGTGTAATAGAATCAATAATTATTATTATTGTTTTTGCTATGTGTCTTTGGTATGTTGTGTTTGTATGTGTGTGTTTGTATTTATGTGTGAGTGTGTATGTGTTATTTGTTGTTGTTTATTGTTTGTCGTATTCAGTTTCGGGGTTTCTCCAACGAACGATGTGATGTACCATGAGGGTGTGATGATCACGAAGTCAGACGACTGCCAGTTCGTCTGCATTCCGCAGAGGCAATTCTACGACATCCTACACAGAGTATGTACCCCAACAACTACAAAAACAACAACAACAACCACAACAACAACAACAATAACAATAGCAACAACGACAATAATAATAATAATAGATAATATTTATTATAATTATGTTATTATATTTATAATTTAGTTATTATTCAACATAATTCACAATGCATGTAGGTTGCTTTACTAAGGTGGAAGTTTTGTTTACGTTGTTAATGATTAAAGAACTTTGTGTTCTCTGAAAAGCTACTCATCACACATAGACATAGACACACACACACACACACACACACACACACACACACACACACACACACACACACACGTTCATATATATATATACATACATACTTGGATATGAAATGAACTTTTCCGCCGGCTTAGTTGACATTCATCATTGTCCACCTATTGCTTACCACTATATCAATTGCTGCAGTTGTTTTATTGTCTTGAAATATTTATGTATGTGTGTGTTTTTTGTGTATGTGTGTGTTTCTGTGTGTGCGCGGGTGGTCTATATGTGAGTGTTTATGATAGTGTATATGTATTTGTAGGTTAGTGTTTTCACGTCAATATGCCTTCGTACATGTGTGTGTATGTGTGTGTGTATATGCGTGCGTGTGTGTGTGCGTATGGATGTTTCTTAGAATTTGCGTAGGCGTTTATGTTGTTGGGGTATAATTCTTCTACCTTACCTTTTGAAAAAAAAAATCTTTTTTCAAACTTTTTCCAGAAATCTTCTTTTCATTGAATTTTAAATTAAATTTTTTTTTAATTACCCATCTTCCTTCCTTAATATTAAATTAATTATAAGAAAAAAAAATAGCAGAAGATTGGATGAAATGAAATTCCTCTCTCCGTCTTAGCAGAATGTCTGGAGAATCAAATTAAATTTTATAATATTTTTCCCCAAGAGAAAAATAAATATAAGGAACTGAAGTTTTAATGATGATCGCTTATTTAATTAATTGATTGATTGATTGATTGATTGATTATTTATTTTACAAAATTTGATACTATTAATTGTTAATTTGATATTAATTAATTGATTGTTTAATTAATTAATTGGTTGATTAATTGATTGATTAATTGATTAATTATTTATTTTACTAAATTTGATATTATTAATTGTTAAGTGTCTTTTAATGTACTCAATATGTGTTGAAGAAATTAAATGCCCTGATGAATTTGGCAATTTGAATTATGTATTTTTATTTATTTAAATATATTTTTTTTTTAATTCAGGAAAAGGAGAATATAATTAAAGTACAGAATGAAAATGGCGAGGTGACGATGGTGATGGAGAAGAGGGAGATGCTGGATGAGAAATCTTCCAGAGGGTTCGTCCAGGGCCAAGTCGTTCTCAGGGTTAGGCCCATTTATCTTCTTTTATTATTCTTATTATTCTCTTTGTTTTCATTTTTTTCGTTTTATTTGTTATTATTTTATGGTAATATTTTGGCGTCTGTTGTGTGTTGTTAGATGGAAAATGGTTTTTACAATTAAAAAGTGTGGATGAAAGTTGAAAAAAAGGACGAAAATGAATGACAATAAAGAAGCAACATTAAATAAGGCAATGTCAGTTCAATCAGAATAAAAACCCTAGCGTAAAAAGCCATAAAAATGGATTTTATAGTATTGTTAGGACAGTCTACTGCTTTCATTTGGGGTTTATGTTTCTCTTTTTGTTCGTTTGTTTGTTTTTTTATTTCTATTTTCTGTCTCTCTTTAGTTCTCTCTTTCTTTCACTCTTTCTTTCTTTCTTTTTACCTTTCTTCTCTTTTTCTTCTACATCTTTCACTCTTTATTCTTTCTTTCCGTCACTGTTTCTTTTTTTTCTTGCCTTTTTCTTTTATATCTCTATCTCACTGACTCTCCCCCTCCCTCCCCCCTCTTCTCTCTCTCTCTCTCTCTCTCTCTCTCTCTCACTGTAGCATGCGTGTGTCCGAACAATTTTCTAATGCTTCCTTGCAATCTCAACCATGCATGCTTAAAAGTGTTCTTCATCATTAGTTTTGCTTTCGGCCTGCTGCTTACTGCTTTTAGTATTATTACTATTATTTATTATTGTTATTATTATTATTATTATTATTATTGTTACACATATGTACATACGTTCCTTTATAAATGTATACTTTCTTTGTATACAAATGTATACAAAAATTTGGAGATAAAATCATAAAATTAAAAAAATTTTTTTTGGCCTTTAGATACCTTTTTTAAAAAAATGGCAGACATCTTCTGTTTGCAAAGACACCTGTGTTTTGGTTGGTTGTATGTGTGCGCGTGTGCGTGTGTGTGTGTACGTGTGTGTGTTGTGTGTCTATGTTTGTTTGTTTTAAGAAATATCATTTGAAAGTTTTATACGTATACAAAATGACTGCAGCTCTGAATTATTGATCAGATAGGTTGGAACATGAAGAAATGCTATCCCGATCTGCATGTTCTTCGCTATGCCATGTAACTTCTATCCCTACAATTACTACATATCAATTTTTTTTAATTAGTTTTTTAATGACATGAGTTTAATTTATTTCAAATTATTACTATTATTAATAATAATAATAATAATAATAATAATAATAATAATAATAATAATGTTATTTATTTAGCGCTATACTTTCAGCTAGTTCTTTTTCTTCTCAACAGTAGTTTGATTTACTATTGACATAAACCAGCCAGCCTATTGTGTTGATAATGAGGAAGATAAAAAAAGTAAATAAGGGAGAGAGAGAGAGAGAGAGAGAGAGAGAGCAAGAGAGAGAGAAACAAACAAACAAAGAGTGTGTGTGTGCGTGCGCGTGCGTATGTGTGTGGTGTGTGTGCGTGTGTGTGCGCGCGCATGCGTGTTGAGTTTTTTTTCTACCTGTCAATACGATGCAAAGCTGTGGGTTTTTTTTTCTCGTCTCGTCAGAATCAGGCATTCTTCGTACACCATGATGTTATTTGTTGTTGTTATTATTCCTTGTGAATTATTTACCTAGTCTTTTTTTTTAAGTTATTTTAATTTTTATTAATTTTTAATATACTATGATTAAATATCACGCTTAATTATGTTTTTTATTTTAGTTTTCTTTCATTTTTATGAATTGTTCTTTTTTCGTCTCTTTCTGTCTCTTATTTCTCTCTCTCTCTCTTCTTTCCTCTCTCACTTTTTCTATCTCTTTCTTATATTTCTTCTCTCTCTCTCTCCCTCTCTCTCTCTCTTTCTCTCTTATTTTCTCTCTCTCTCTCTCTTTCTCTCTTATTTTCTCTCTCTCTCTCATTTCCCCCCCCCCTCTCTCTCTCTCTTATTTTCTCTCTCTCTCTCTTATTTTTTTTC